GATCTGGAAGTTTTCATAAACGCATTTCAATCCCAATGCGAGCTTCAATGCTTTCTTCGAGTCAAAGGTTTGGAGAACTTTTACATGGGATGTAGGCTGGTAGAAAATGTTTCCCTGTCTAGGTTTGATAACAGGGTCTGGGCAAGGTGTTGGGTCAGACATATCCAAAAACTATTCCTTACGGATGGATTTCTTCAGCATCTGAGTTATCGTCTTCGGGTATATTCAAAATTTCTACTGCAACTGAAACATCTTCATCCATATCTACCTCCCACAAAGTTTCTGACTGTTCCGGAGACTGGTACGTAGACTGGATCAGGTTCTAATTTGGAGACTGTCTCGGAGACTGGTTCAAATCTTGAACCAAATAACTGTCATGATCAATAGGATTTTTTTTGGTTCAAAATATGAATTTCCACCAACATCACCGAGGAATAAAGTGTTTGGATTTCCACCACTACCATCGAGGTAAAAAGTGTTTGGACTATATGAGTTTGCACCATTACCGCCGGGTAACTTTGATAGATTACAACACTTGATGGATTTCCACCATAACCAGTTTAACCACAATTGTCGACGACAAAGAGTGTCAACATTTCCAGTAAACTTTGATGAATAACGTTCTGGAACATTAGCACATCGTCGTCGTCACTTAACTCATAATTTTTGTAAGGAATTCGTTTTATAAAATAACATCAAAAGACTACGTAAACTTAACTTTTTTTGTAACATGTTTAACCAAACCAAAATGTGTTATTGGCGAAAGAAAACGTAATACACGTACGTGGGATCTTAACGGCATATACTCTAAGGCACCATTTATCTCCTCGAATGAACCGCCACTTTGAACATACACCAAAACATCATCACTTTGACGTAATTTCATATTTGTGTTTAAGGGTGAAGGTTTAAGATAGTATAATGTGTTTAATGGGTTAAGGATTGTGATGGTAGATTGTGTTCAAGGGTTGTGATGGTAGATTGTATTCAAGGGTTAAGGGTTGTGAGAGTAGAAAATATAAGAATAAAAGTGAGAAGTGAGGTGTGAAGAAAAATGAATAAGAAGTCACAAACTTTATATAATGATATTTTGTGCACTAAAAGACAAAATAAAGGTCAACAAAGAAGGCTGGTTCGCCCCCGAGGGAAGATCCAGAGTTAGTTGGAGGCGATCCCCCTTTTCAATGAAAATCAGATGTTTATCTCCTAAATCAGATACATGTAGGCCCTACAAATCAATTTAAAATAATTTTTTTTATAGTTTTTTGGTTAAAAATAGGGTGGATCGCCCCAATGGTCAAACATGCCTCTCGGAAGGTAATCCTAGTGACTATTTTGGTAAGAATTGAAAAAAATGACTATTTTGTTAATATATGAAGTATCATCTAGTTATTTTAGTGAATTTCCCTTTAATTTATATTAGATTTTATTTTGTAATTAATATTTTATAATTTAAATTAAATCGAATGAATTACATGGATAAAATTGAAGAGTAACAAACCCAATTGGGACATTAAAGATATGAAACCGAATTTATTGATGGAAGTGACATCTAATTCCTAAATTAACACTTGAGATCATCTCATGAATAAAACGTGCCTTTGCTTTCTCAACCAATTGAATTCAACACGTGACACGTTTTATATGCACACAACTTAATCCTACTTATTTTCGTCACTTCAAATTACTTTCCACGTCACCAAACATTTATTATCATCTCATACCCAAAAGGGTATTTTAGTCATTTTCTTTTATAAGTATGAGAAAATAGGGGATGGTATGGTGTCACCGACAATTTGCTTATCGGTTTTATTATTTAAGAGTCAATTACATCGCTGGTCCATCACATGTGGTTGAATAGCATTCTTGTATCATAATAAATATATTTAATTTATCTCATTTGTCTTTTTTCATATACAATAATAATTATATATATATATATACTACCTCAAAATGCCACTTAGGCAACAAATCAATAATTTATGGAGAAGAAAAATAATTTGGGTAAGTGTTTTGAGGGAAAAAAAAGTGAGATAGAAAATTTTAGAGGGAAAGGTTTTTGGGGGAAAAAAGAGGGGGAAGGGTTTTGGGGGAAAAGGTTTTTACCTTTTTCAACTTTTCTGGAACACAGCCTAATTAACATGGTTTCTTATTAATATATGATTTAAAGCATATTTAAATAGAAATAAATCCTAGAGGAGTATAAGTTAGATATAGAAGCAATTATATATAAAAAGCCAATGTATCTTTATTAGAAAAAGCTTTGTATATATTTCTTTGTTTGAATATTGATAATAAATACAAGTAGTACAATAAATATTTATTAGATTAACTCAAATTTAAAATCCGTACGGATTGGTCAGGTTAGTCGGGTTGGTTGGGTTGATACTTTAACATATTAAAATATTCTTTTAACTATGAATATGTTATTTATCTACTCATAATTTCTTTTTCATCGTCAACCATTTGATACAACTTATCCATATTTCTTACGTATATCACATTCAGTTAATTTTCGCAATTTACATATATATGTTCACAGTTACTGAACATATATATGAATGAGTTATATAGAGATATTAACCCAATATCAACTCAATACTTACGGTTTGACAATTTTACAACTCGGTTAGACATCCAAGAAATAAAAGGATATCGGGTTCATCGGGTTGGGTTGGGTTCAAATAATAGTAACCCAATATCAACACAATACCTACGGTTTGACAATTTTACAACTCGATTAGACATCGGGTTGCTTCGGATTAGGTTATTTGGCGTTGGGTTGGGTTGGGTTGATCGGGTTGGTCGGGTTTTTGAGCACCCCTAGTAGTGGATTAGTGATGGCCATTTCTGCCATAGATTCCAATTAGTAATTTAATTAGCAAATTTTAATTGAAGTATGAATAAACCAGCGTCAGACATTATTCCGGTGATGACCACGCCGCCTGTAACCTAGACTACTAGATTACTGGCGAGCCTTTTGTGACAACTTGTTTTCGTTGGCAAATTAACAGCGGATCTGTTAGTCCGTAAAAGTATGTAGTGTATGGACTCTTTTTCATAAACAGGGTGGCAATTCTTGACACGATACGAACCCTACACAAAAATAAACGGGTTTGGGCGGTGGAAGTACTGCTGTGATAATAATAATAATAATAATAATAATAATAATAATAATAATAATAATAATAATAATAATAATATCAATGGGTGTTGGTGGAGGTACTGCTGTGATGAAGAGTGAAGAAGGTAGCATCGAGGTGGTGCCTGTGGTAGGTGAGTGTCGGCCGTGACAATGATGGTAATGGCATGGCGGTGTTGGGGTGGCGTGAGGTGGGAGTGGGTGGGTTAGGTGGGTAGGGGTTGTTGGGAATATTTTCAAAATAAAGTAAAGTATTTTGGGTTAGGTCTTAGGAAAAGAGAAATGATCATTTTTGTGGGTTTCTCGTTGTCCCACATAGGAGCAAGAGTGAAATCCAAGTGGGTATATAAGAGGATGCATTTTCTATATATTAATTTAATATATTGGAAATGATGGGGCTTCCACAAGGGTGCATAGCACCCTTACACGCGCGACCGTGGACGTGGACGTGGACGTGGGCGCAATGTGGCGCTTTGATGGCGCACTTCTTTGTTCTATATACCAGATTGCTAAGGGTTGTGTTGCTATAGAAACACAATTTCTTAGTTTCTTAAAATCCTTGAAACTCAATAGTTCAACCGGGATTATCACCACTAATGCGGTGTTGATAGTCATTCTACATACGTTGCTTCATTGTATTTTGAGAAGCGATTCGCCAAAGTCCCAAAGCACATATGGTGGGGGCGAAATTGCTTTAAGGATAGAGATCACTCGCCTTGAAAGCAATAAGTAGTAGAAATCTCCTTCTCTTTATTAGCCTAAAAATTAGAACCCTAGAATCAACAGGGGTGAGGGTGGATGGATGGATGGGGGTGGCAATTGTGACGACGACTATAGTGCCATGGTAATATCGATGGTCGATGGTGGGCTGGGGTTGGTGACGAGAATCGGTTGTGGGGTGGTTGGTGGTTGTGACGACAATAATAGTCGTGTGGTGGTAGTGGTGTGGGGTGGGTGGCGGGTGGCGAGCATGATAGTGACAGTAGTAGTGTTGTCGTGGTAGGGGAAAGGTGGACGGGTCATAGTTGTGACGACGAACGATAATAATATTGTGGTGATAGTGGGTGGGGTAGGTGACGGGTGGTGTTGATTAAATTGGATGCAAGTGTTATTTTTGTCTTTTAAAAAACCAAATTATAAAATCTGTTACATTTGCCAAAGGATGAAATTAAATTTATTCACGTTTTCCAAAGAATGATGAAATCATTAATGTATGGAATATAAAATAATTTAAAGGATTGCATTCATTTTACGAAATCAACCAAACAAAAAAATTGATCATTCCATTTCCCTTGAAATCTTAGGCAACATAGAAACAATAATATATGTTGCCTAAATAAATTGAGTTGAATTTATAATATTTACCTTAGGCAACATAGAAATAGGAATATATGTTGTCTAAGTAAACTTTGTTGGATTTATGTTTTTACCTTAGGCAACATAGTATATGAATATTTGTTGATTAAGTAAACTTTGATGGATTTAAAAAAAATATGAGTAGCCAACATTGAACTAAGGCAACGTAGGCTAATATGTTGCCTAGGATACATGGAGGCAACATAGAATCATTTATATGTTGCCTAAGGTCACACTTAGGCAACATAGAACCATATGTTGCATTAGAGGAAACTTAGGCAACATATAATAGCCTTTGTTGTCTTAGCGTATCTTAAGCAACATATGTAATTTACATTTGTTGTCTAAGACAACATTTGGTGTAGTGATATATATATATATATAGGGTTGGGTTCACGTAAGACCAAAGGTTTTTTTTATGAGATCCGTAAAACTAATTTATATTCATTGATTAACTTTATAATATTTAAACAATTTGAATACATGGAATAAATCTAAGAGTTTAAATGAGAGTTTTGGTGGCACCCATAATCAACCCTGAACCCTTCAACCTGTTAATGGTGATCGTATCAATCCGGTTTTTCATCTCCTCCGTCAAGTAATTCTCCCAATCTCCCACCTTCCCTTTCCTGAAAAACTCCCGATTCTCCACCACCACCTTCGCCGTAAACTTCTGACCACCGCCACCGCCCTTATTCACCTCCAGATTACTCAAATTCTCGAAGCTACACAGCTTCACTATCTCTTCCACCACCCCTTTCTTCTCTTCCTCCTCCGTGAACGGCGTTCCCATGAACGCCGCCAGTTTCTTCAGCTCCACCGTCGGTTCCCTCTTCATATCCTCATACTTGAGAAACAAGATCTTCTCCGGTGATTCTTGGCTTGCTTTCCAGTACCCCAACACGTGGTCCCAAAAAGGTCCGTATTCCGAAACCCCATTGCAGAACAACTCAAAAGCTTCGTTAAACGAGATGGGTGGCAGTTCTTTCGACCTAAGCTTTCTCATAAAATGCCACTTCGAAATGAGTGCGTCTTTCGGGTCCCTACACACGTACACAAACTTGCATGTCGACGCCGGAGATGTCATCGACGTCGGTAACGAGCTGTGAGCGTTGTGGGTGGCAAAGAGTCGAGGAGCAGGGAGATGGTCGAAGTTGGTTATGGGGTGGTCAAGAAAAATATGGGTGTCAAGGAAGGGGAAAACACTCTGGGGGCCAGTACGAAGGAGAGGGTGGTCGGAAAAGTTGTAACGCTGGCGGTTGACGGTGGCGAACATGAGAGCTTTGAGCCAGGTGGTTCCACACTTCATGAAAGCCGCGAGGAAGATATCGGTGGGTTGGGGATGGAAGTGATCTCCGATCAACAACTGGCCTCTGATCACTTCACGGCTGGCCCAAAAGCCTTTATAACGAAAGATGTATTGGCTTCTCCAGCCTTTGTTTTTGGGAAGAGTTGCAATCATGGCGTCGAGCTTTTGATCATAGGCTTCTTGTTCTTCTGTTTGGATTTGGTTATCGCCATTAATGGGTTTGGGGTTGTAGCATGCATCGTGGTCGGGAAGAAGGTAAGTGGCCATGGATTCTGGTGGCTATAAAGATGGATGGATGGATGGATGGATGGATACAAGGAAAACTTCAACTGTAAACCTTCTCTTATAGCAACTTCATGTTTTTTATTTTATTCTTTAATTATTGATATTATTATTATAAAACATATGCGAATAGTATATATTGTTAATAATTGTTAATAAATGTAAAGCATTTTCATATCACAAATTAGGTTTACAGGAATTCAAATATGTTTAAATATTATTAGAATGGTATATATGCAATACAGTGAGATACATCTTGATTTTAACGTTTCGTTTTATATATTGGGTCTATCGATGTTATAATGCAATTTTGAAAAAAAAAATGTTTTTATTTTTAAATGAAATATAAATTTGAATATATTATAAAATTTTGAAAAAGATAAGCGACATTATTATTAAATTAACTATTTAAAAGTTTTCGTTTTTGTGTAATTTCTTTAATTCAATTTCTAGTTTAAAAAGGAACTAGTTTAATGTTTTGTTTAGTAAAATAATTTTTTAAGATAATAATTAAGTATTCTGTTATAACTTAATGATTATCTTAATTATATTTTAGATTTTTTATATTTAAAATGATGTTTATCATGTATTTGATTATGTTTATCTGCAGTTAGTTACACGAATTCAAATATGGAGCTTTAATAAGATGTACTCATGCACATTCTATTTGTAATCTTAAATTTAAGTAATATATACAAAAATAAACAGTACTTTATGCATAAAAAATTGTTTTTAAGAGTTTTGTCAAATGTTTTATAATATAGTATAGATAATAGTGTATAAACGACTTACGTTTATAAAGACAAGTTACAAATTGACCACCAACAGCCCGTAACTTCGTGCTCGATCTGGATTTCGTTTGAATATATGGCTTCTTCTTCGTTCAACATATTGGTTTTCAATCTCTGACCGCCCCGTGTTTTTGTCGTTGAGTTGTAAAATATAACCTACAAGGTCTGATCGTCGCTTCTAATCAGCGGGGTTTTTTTTTTGGGTTTACCTAGCATGATCTTTTTGGGTTTTATCGAGCATTGTTTTTTTTGGGTGGGTGTTCTTTATTGTCGCTTCCAATCAAGGTCCGATATAGGTTGGAACAACTTGTTGGGAGTAATGATGATTTCAAAGTTTTAAATTTTTTCTTTGTTTACGTTTAATTATCTCCTTGTTTTTAGCGAGCTTTCTGTTTTGTTTGACCTAGTACTTAGCTAGATTTAGTCTATAGAGGTACTCTATTTTTCAGCTTTTCTGTTTCTTGTACTGGCTAAGCCAAGTCTATTGCTTTAATTATCAAGTACTTTGCAATTTGCAGTACCTGCAAACCTTGTTTTTACTTTGATCAACATATGGTATTAGAGCAAAACTGAAGGATCTGGTTTGGGAAGGATATACAGGAAAGAAAACACGAGAGGCAGTATTAAAGGGAATACAACAGAGATGGTTGAAAGCAGTAGCAACAACAAGTTTGTTCAACCTTCCATTCCAAAGTTTGATGGCTTCTACGAACATTGGGCAAAGTTAATGGAGAACTTTCTGTGGTCCAAAGAATATGGGAGTATGATTGAAGAAGGAATTAATGCTACTCCAAATTCCAAAAGGAAGAGAGCCAACTGAGGCAGAAGCAAAGGTCATCGTAGAACAACTGAAGGGCATGAGAGTGAAGAATTATCTCTATCAAACAATCGATAAATAAATCGTGGAGACGATTCTGAATGACGACACTTCAAAGCAGATCTGGGACCATGGGGCTGGAGTGAGGATGAACAAGTTAGTGTTAGCTTTTTTTTAATTTGTAAATTTACCTGATGTCTAGGTTGCAGGTTAAATTTTTTTAGTAATAAGGATGTATCTAACAAGTCTTAGAAAGTTTAAGGAGTTATTTAACAGATTTTGGAATGTCTAAAAACCTATTTGTTCCAAAAAATTGTCCAATGACTTAATCATTCCAAACACTAAACTCCATTAGTTTCTTTTATATATTTTTCCCTTATAAAAACATGATAATTCAGTAAACCTATATAAGTACAATCACATGTGATTGCAGATGATAATGATAATACTCATGTCGTAACAATCAACATCACATGTGATGCTTATAATATATTTAACTAGTCAAAATATTTTTGTATAGGAACTGAGAGATCTTTACACAAGTTAACACATAATCACATATGATTACATTCATGTCTAATGTATCCTCTTCATGTATCAATGACCTAGATGATGCAATCATATGCTTAGTTGATAACCGGTCCAAGTACAAGTCAGAAAACACTTAGGGCCTGTTTACTTGTGGCTTAATGAGCTTACCGGATAAACGGGCTTATTCGCACAGTCATTTTAGGCTGTTTACTTCGAGCTTATTCGCCCAGACAGGGGCTTATTCGCACAGACCAATACCATCACTTGTCCACATTAAGCCAACAAAAAGACCTGCCTACCCTTGTAATAGAAAACCCACGCTCTCTTTTCTCCTTCGACAGGTTCGCTCCTTCTCCTCCAAAACCCTAATCGGCCGATTTTGCTGCTCATATTGCTTCCGATTTTGCTGCTCGTTATCCAATCTTCTCTTCTCCAAAGGTAACTCTTCTCCTTATCTATAGATTATGTTCGATTTTGCTGCTCGTTGATGCTCGATTCGCTCTTAATCTGTTGATGCTCGATTCGCTCGATTCGCTCTTATCTGTTGATGCTCGATTCGCTCTTATGTTCGATTTTGTATGCTCGGTTTGCTGCTCGGTTTGTTTAGTTTGTTTAGGTTTTCGTTTTTCTTTTTCTTTAGTACAGTGGTATCAACACAAGGAGAAAGCACCTTATTAGTTTGGAATCAGATTCTGCTTAAACCAGTATATTATTTGGCTCCCATTATCACGTTATTAGTTTGGAATCAGAGTCTGATAACTTGGTTGCTGCTTGGTTACTGCTTGCTTCTTAAATTAAACCTTGATATCTTGGGTGTACAATGTTCATTATTTGTTTATTACTTCTGATTTGCAGCTCGATATGTGTTTTGTTTTTGGGTTTGTTTAACTCAGGGGTAAATTGGTCATTTCTGTTATTCAGACTGTTGATTCAGATAGAAAAGTAAACAGCAACCCAAATTTATCCAGACAGACAAATTTATCCATACAGGACTTAATAAAAAATTTGGTAAACAGCCCCTTAGTAGTTTTTGAAGTATTGAAGATAGCAGATCAACTGATAGTTCATCTACTGCTAGCAGTTGATAAAACAATTACATCTGCAAATGATCAAAAGTAAGATATCAGATGATAGCAAGAATTGAAGCTATCAGATGATGTAAATCACTCAAAGATCAACATATAAGTGTTGAACATTTGATGAAGATATTAGATGGAAACATGCCCTTGATCAACCAATGCTCATCAAACATCAGATGTTCCTGCCATCAGATGATGCCTTAACAAATAGGCTAACTCATCAGCTGAAGATGTTTATACCTGAAGGTCTGCTTGCATTAAATGTTGGAAGATTTGCTTTTGATGCGAGCAACTTTGCGGTAAATGCATTATGGTTGTAATTTCTACAAAGAGGAAGCATGGAGCATACTTTTTGATGAACGGTGATTTGAAATATCAACTAGGACATTCTCTCCATACTTTGTCATCATGCTAATTTGTCTTATTGGATAAGATGAAGCTTATAAATACCTCACAATGCTAAGAAGATCAAGTGTGCTAAAATCAAACTTAAAAGAGACCGGTTTGCCATTCATCAAGGATTCCAAGTTCATCAGTTCTTTGTCTAATCTCTTTGTGTAAGATTAGTTTTCTTAAGTGAATAACTGTTGATATAGTTCACTGTTGTGTGTAACCAAGAGGGAGAACATCTGTAGATAGAGAAAGATAGTTTATAGTCTTTTTATCATTTATGATTTTAGTCTATTTTCCGCATTCTATCTCCTGCTTTAAAAAGAATCATTTGTTTTAATACCATACGTATTATTTGATTCTATATAATACACTTGGCGGTTAGATTTAAGGGTGAGTAAAGCCACTTCTCATTTACATAATGGAATTTGATGGAATTGTAACTCATCAAAGGAATTTGCCTATGAAGGAATTGGAATGAAATTTGATGGAATTTGACCACGTATTTGGTTGGTAGAAATTGGAATGAAATCTCTCAAAAGAACTGGAATCTCCACTTTTTTGGTAGAATGTAGCTTCAAAATTGGAATTAAATAACAATAAATGAACAAAATACCCATTTATTACATTTTGATACTTTTTGCTCAAATTATCAATAATAATATAATAATGATAATAATAATAATAATAATAATAATATCAATGGGTGCTGGTGGAGGTACTGCTGTGATGAAGAGTGAAGAAGGTAGCATCGAGGTGGTGCCTGTGGTAGGTGAGTGTCGGCCGTGACAATGACGGTAATGGCATGGCGGTTGGGGTGGCGTGAGGTGGGAGTGGGTGGGTTAGGTGGGTAGGGGTTGTTGGGAATATTTTCAAAATAAAGTAAAGTATTTTGGGTTAGGTCTTAGGAAAAGAGAAAAGATCATTTTGGTGGGTTTCTCTTTGTCCCACGTAGGAGCAAGAGTGAAATCCAAGTGGGTATATAAGAGGATGCATTTTCTATATATTAATTTAATATATTGGAAATGATGGGGCTTCCACAAGGGTGCATAGCACCCTTACGCGCGCGACCGTGGACGTGGGCGTAATGTGGCGCTTTGATGGCGCACTTCTTTGTTCTATATACCATATTGCTAAGGGTTGTGTTGCTATAGAAACACAATTTCTTAGTTTCTTAAAATCCTTGAAACTCAATAGTTCAACCGGGATTATCACCACTAATGCGGTGTTGATAGTCATTCTACATACGTTGCTTCATTGTATTTTGAGAAGCGATTCGCCAAAGTCCCAAAGCACATATGGTGGGGGCGAAATTGCTTTAAGGATAGAGATCACTCGCCTTGAAAGCAATAAGTAGTAGAAATCTCCTTCTCTTTA